AAGAAGAGAACAAAGTACCCAAGGACACTGGTGAAGAGCCAAGGGTCGTACAGAAATGTGGAAGCTGCTCAAGCTTGGTCGTACAATACTGCAAAGAAGCGTGGGACTCGTTGGCCGCGGAATCGACCCAGAAAGAAGAAGCTAGATGGAATGCTGAACTGGCACGATTAGCCTTGGGTCCGATTCTTATTGACACCTCGAACTTGAAGAACGAGTCAAAAACTACACCGACTGATGTGGAAGTTGTGAAGTACCTTGAACATTGGATTAATGCCGAGGAGGAGAAGCAGATGATTGCGGAACACTACTTCAAAGAGATCTCCGATGCTGAGAGAGACGTCGATGGCATGAGTCTGTATGACCTTCTTAGGAAGGATTACAAGGAATGGAACAACAATGGCACACCTCTCGGCATCTGCTCTGTGGTCAAGGACATGCCATTCCTCGTCGAGAAAGCCGGCAGCAATGAGAAGTTTCTGAGTGTTTTAGAGGATTTCGCGAAGGAGCGGAAGTTGTCTGTCTGCTCAGTCATGACTAGAACTCTGATCGATAATGTCTTCAAGAGAGAACTTCTAGTCTGGGGAATGGATCGAAAGGGCGTAGAGTCGGCCCTTAAATTCGAAGAGGAGGCAACGCAAAGCCTCGACCTCGAGACTTGGAAGGATGGATCTCTCGATCTTGAACGTGCCGATCAGTGGCGTCATTGCTGGTCACAGGGAAGGGCTCAGGATGGCCGCAAACAGATAGCACCTCTCTTGAGGTCAGCGATATCGACATGATGGCCTTAGAGGAGGACTTGGGTTCTGAAAGTGCGCTCAAGTGTTGGTGTTTGCGGGCAAGTCGGCCTACTGAGCTGAGAAGCATGCTCGGGTATACACACTCGTGTAAAACATGGAACCTGCATCGCCCGCACTTGTGATGAGGAAAGCGCGTTCTTGTAGCAGATAGGTGAGAACCTTGGAAGAGCCTCAGCTTTCACAACCAAGCTACAAATGTGGGCTATGTTATCTTGGTAGCCCTTTACACCCGAGGATACACAAGTTGAGAGACCATTCCATGAGACGCAGCAACACACCAACTCAAAACGCGTGTTGTGTGACCTTATGCGTACTTGGAGGTTCTATCAAATGTGAGTTTCGTATTCAGTATCTGTAAGTCGGCGTCTTCTTAAAATTGCGCTCTCTCTCGCAGAACCATTTCATATGCACTTCGATGGGATCTCCCATCCATTCAATCTTGCCTTCCACAGCCTTTGAATGTTTTAGCCTTGTGCAGAGTAAACAGTGCATCGTCTCACGCACATGTTAGGCAGGCGTCATAGGTGCGAATGCCCGATGCGGAAATGGAAGCTACCTCTTTTGGCGACTTCCCTTCAGTTGAAATTCCTATCTCCTTAAACAAGATAAAGACTGCTACTGTCATGTAGCATGAGGCTTTGGTGCATCAGAATTTCAGACTTTCACTGCGCTCAGATCAGCTTCGTAAGTTTGTATCCATTTCCATCTACTTACTCTACCCTAGCAATTCGAATAGCGGCATTCTGACTGTTGATAAGCGCTCGACGTACGATCCACAGAATGGGAACAGCAACATGTCCTCAGCTTCCGAAACGTGGCGGTGGTCGTCGCAAAACCCCACAGGAAGTCAGTCAAGAACCAGCTGCAAATAAGAAGCCAAAACTGAGCCCCACAACCAACCCTGCCCCTTCCCGTAGCGGTCATTGTCGATCCATCAAGCCACTCGAAGGCTCTGCTACGGTATCAGATTCAACTCAGCGGCTGGCAAAGCCGCGAAAACGCAAACCACTTTCAAAACGACTCACTCCACTACGAAAACGCTCTCAACCATGCGAAAGGCAAGATATTCTAAGCGGCTATGATGAGGATCTCGAAATCGACGTGTTCGATTATGTCACATCGATGGAGGTGATCGTCGCACATGTCGCAAGGGAGCCCATGGAAGATGCCGCGGAGATGCCGGTTGCGGAAAGGGTCACAGAGGCTCCGCCAGTTGAAGTGGTGGTAAAGCGGGAGCTGCCAGCAGACGCGTGGGTCAAGGGGGAATTGACAGACGATCTCGAAGTTTGGCCTATGAAAGCCGCCAAAGCCGAGGATGAGGACGTGAAGACGTGGATTACTCCGGCGGTGGATAACAAGGACCTCATTGCTCTCGGAGGAGGTGACGAGGACTCCGGGAAAAAGGTCGTGGTTGTGAAGCAAGAATGCGATCCAGCGGAGACGAAACAAGTAAGCCAGTTAATGAAGCAGGAACACATCGACAAGGAAGACAAGGAGGTTGGGATTGGTGGAGTTATAGTTGAAGGATCGGAGCGTCTGGATATTCTTGACGACGTTCTGCAATTGCAGCTCCATAATGAGATTCTGCAAAACGAGTTGAATCTGGTACGGCGCAGCTGGTTGTGGACGCTCGTCCAGTGGCTCGCGTAGATCTCGGGCTTCACGATCTGTCGAAGACATGGAAAGAGAGCAAGGCGTTGGCAGTGAAAGAGATGGAAAATGTATCTGGTATTCTCGGGACAAATTGATCATGTTCTTCGTGTCCTTCGTACAGTGTATCTGGTGTATCTTATTCAAAGACCTTTCCGAGCCGTTCTACTTCTGCCCCTGCTCTCGAGAATCGAATTTGCATGTCTGTTCTCAACTGACTTCTCTCCACCGTGTTCAGCATCCGAACATCTTCTGTGTGCTAACATTGCACCGACTCCACCATTTCCTTTCCCATAGACTCATTAAGAACATTCCTGGCCAGTACCCGACGTATAACCACCAGAATGGCCATGGGTCCCATAACTCGAACGTGCCGTCTCGCCAATATAGCACATGCTCTGCAAACTCCAGCCACTTTTGCAACACATCAGTGATACCAATCTCGAACCTCAGGAGCCATAACAGAGGTAAGAGTACTCTTGTGACCAGATCGTGTCCCACCCAGTAGTAGCCTGGAGTTCCAGGTCTCGGTACAACGAGTGCTTCAGCACAATGTCCATTCGAGATGCCTTTTGGTTCATGATCTGGCAGAATGGAAAGATAGGCCTCTGCCATGTCCTCTGACTCTTCTGCCAGGCATACCACGGCAGTATGAGCGCGAGGGTTGCACTCGATTGGGTAGATCTTGCTCATAAGCTCTCGAACTTCGACTTCCGAGACTCCGACTCGTCTCTCTGCTTCCTTGGCGACCTCCGCCTCTACCAAGAAATCGATCGAGAAATGTCCCGTCATACTCGGTCCAGTCTTCTTGGCGTATAAAGTGGTGTAGAGGAGCATTGCTTGGGAAAGTGCCGAAGACGTAGGTAGTAGAACGTAGTGCATGAGTAGGTCCGCCGAAGGACAAGCCACGAAGACTTTCACTTTTCCATTAATGACTAGACTGTGCGTGCAGTATTCTGGACCCGAGATGAATCTTTGGAGGACGAAGGGTCGAAAAGGGGTTGGATTCAGACGCTTGACGTGCGTTTCTGTCTCTTTCAACGTAGGTCGTGGGAGCAGAGTCATATCTGCTCGACTCGAGTCGTCGAGAAACACACTTTTCATGACATACTTCGTGCCCTGGGAAGCTTTTGGTTTCTCTGGGCAGAGTACTGCCAGTGATTCCGTCTCAGATGTCACGAGATGCGTATCTGGGACGTTCAGACCCAGTTCTCGCGTGTTGTCGATGAATGAGTGCTTCTCATGCAAGGTTGCCGTCAACGTAAGCCCGAATTGAATCGCTTTGCACTTCGTCTCCTTCTCAATTACTTCCGCAGCTTCTCCGTCCTTGACCCCAGACGCGATTCCAGAGCATGAGACCCATAGCTCGACTCCTTCTTTCTGGATTATGTCGATCATGTCTTTCATGTACCTCGCACCACCAGTCTCCGAATCTGGCCGCGAAAGTCGGTAGAAGGCATCAATTGATTTCGAAAAGTGACCACAAACTGGAATCATGTAATCTTCGAAGTCGGCGCCAATAACTCGATGTCCTGCGCGGTAGAATGTACGCGCCAAAGTGAGTCCTTTGCTCATTCCCACGCCAGTCACGAGAATCGTCCTCGGGCGAAAGGTTGACGATGAAATTTGTCTCCATTTTCGGTAGTGCTGGATATGTCGTGAAGTCTTGAGGTACGGAGATACAATGCTGCTAAATACCGCAATGAATGTACATAATGGGATGCAGCAAATCGAGAACAAGATTAGAGATGCATTTTGTAGGACGTGGAGGTACGTTGGTGATGTTCCGGATAAAGACATTGCTGTTCGGAACAAAGGACACCGAGCTCAGAATACCATATCGCGACGACTGCTCAATGAAAAGGAACTCCCGAGGTCGTCAAGAAGGGCCTCATTGAGGTCGGCGCCTCAATTGAAGGATGTTCGAAATGCATACGCAGGGTGAAAAGAAAGGTTCGTTGCAGCTGCACGAACGTCTCCACGTCATCATCACATGCTTTAGGGTTGGATGCGGAACGTACCTGACTAGGCAAAGTGGGATGAAATGTCGAGATATGTGGCAGTTTGGCAGTGGGGACAACATGTATCGAGGCACGCCAAACAGAAGCAACTTGAGGGGAAGATACAACATGCAAACAAACAGCAGTTGCGCGTTGGCGTTCCAAGCTGTAGGCCGTCGCCTTCATTGACGAGGCACCAGTGTCCCAGTGCCGCGCGGTACATGGAGTTCAAGGCTGTTGTAACCCACGAAGGGCAAGACGAATATCTGCAAAAACAATAGCAGGTAGACTTTTGTTTTTTTGTTCTCGTCGTTCGGGTACAAAATATGTTTCCCAAAGAAGTCGTACACAAAAGAGTTAAGCCGCTACCCCACCCGATATCAACTCGCTTGCCTACTTAACGGATCGACAAAAGATCCGACAAAACTTGAGGACACAAAAAGTGAATTAAAGATTAAAAAATTCCGTTAAAATCCACAGCCTCATCAAACATCTTATCCCAAAATTTTGATTGCAGCTCCCAAAAGGCAAAAAGGAGCATTTCCAAACGTTGTGCCCACTCTCGGAATCGAACCGAGGATCTTGTCATTACGAGTGACACGCAGTACCACTATGCCAAGCTACGAAAGGATCGTTAGTAGCTGTTGCGCCGGTTTGAATGTGAAGTGGATTAAACATACCGGGCGAATCAGGAAGATGTCAAAATTTTTGTTATTTAATTTTATATGGAGTGTAACAATCCCACCAGAGCTAGCACTTTAGCGAGCCAATAGACCTCGCACTTGAAACTCGAGTAAACGAGTCACTTCCACTCAACAAGGCATCGCACAGTATTGAGGTGCACATAATATTCATACAATACGTAATTGGAATAAACCATTTCTACAGATCGGCGGCTGGCATTGATTGCTATCTTTCAAACACAGCTTTGGGAGGCTTTTGATGACGCACGGACTTCAAGGAATCTCGGTCCGACCCTCACTCCGGCGCTACACAACTTAACCAACAAAGACTTCACGCTCTTCAAAGACAGCAAAAGATGCAACCAGCCAGGGAACTCCTTCGGGAGTTTCACGAAGTATGGCATTACGTCCGAGCAGAAACTGAGACAGATCGATTTCAGACTGCAACACTCAATGTCCCTTCATTATTACATGTCAATTTCGAGGCACGGGAGCTCGCCCTCAAACACTACAAACTTGGGCTTGGTACTGTAGCTCCTCGTTGGGGAACCTGGCTAGAATACAAATTTTACCCTCGGCGAGCGATGTTTACCCAGCCACGGACACACATCGACTTCTCAAGAGATATTGTACTTCTAAGGAGACGACACTAGCGAGCCAACGACATCTTTGAGTACTTGAGCACCAAGTACCTTCAGAAAATTCAACACTTCGCCATTGATCACCAGTCTCATTGGAACATCATGGATTCTGCGAAGATCTGCACGGACTTTCATGCTCACAAAACCTTCACAATCGTTAACCATTCTCGCTCGTGAGAATCATGTTCAATGGGCCATATCAAGGCTGCTTCAGAAATTAGGCAATGGGAACTACAGTGTGCTCCTGTGGGACCGATTAGAGGCCACGGCTCTATGCCAGACTCGATCGGCAGGATCTCGATAACGCCCTCGTTGAGTTCAAGGACGGGGAAGAGGAGAGAGCTAAAGATTGGATAAAGCCTGGAATCCGTGTTATGGAGTTGCTACGTGGCGATGAGTACTGTTGCAAGGGATTGCCTTGCACGACGGTGGGAGAAGCTTGTTGGTCCATTTCATGGGAACCGAAAATAAATTGTGTGGATAATGGCAGTGCGTTGGCCATGAGTCCTGGGATAATACTTTGTAAAATCAGTATTTGTACTGATGAAGTTCTATTGAGAAAGATCTAAGTAGATCCTTCGAACAAATATCTCACCAGCAGTGACAACGAGGTAAAGGGGTTCTTTGCACGTAAGCGATCATGTGACAGTCCACCAGCATGCGTCTGCATCCACGTCAGTGAAATTGGAGTCTGTTGACGTTAAAGCATGTAACGAATAGTATAAAATATCTTCAGCAGACAATCCAGGCGCATTCGCTCTTCTTCTTCCCAGTAGTGCCGGTTGTGGCTCCTTTTGACTTCAGCTCGACATCCGAACCAATCAGCGTCACGCTCCCCGCAAGTACATCCATCCAGCTAAAGGTCTCGAACTTACAATATCTCGGATATAAATACAACACTTCACCAATCAGCGTTCATCAAAGTCATTGAATGCATAATACATATTTCTGCTTAAGCCATCCACGTACCTGCTTCTCACATTCAAATATTTGCGCTCTCCATTCAAAACCCTTCATATTTCCAGTAGATTTATTGGTATATCCTAGCTCATTGAAATCGAAACAGGACCCAAAATGGCAGACCTAGAAACCCTCCTCCAAACCACCTCCTCAACTACCACCCCGGGAACACCATCTACCTGAAGATAGTCACCTTCTACGACACAGTCAAAGACCAGCCAGCCGGTTTTCGAGACCTCGGTTTCGACTTCCTCTCTATATGCTAAATCCTCCATGCCTTGGAAGAAAGTCTCAAAGAGCACTTCAAATCGCAGCAACCTTTCCCCCAACAGGCGATTCTGGAACTTACGAAGATATTGGCCAAGACGAACGAGGATTTTGAGCAGCTAAAAGCTCTGTTGGAGAAGTTTACGGACTATGAAAAGAGGGGAACGTTGGGCAGGGTGATGAAGACCTGGAGGCAGGTGTTTGCGGACAAAGAGATTGGGAAGGTTAGAGGGAATTTGCAGGCCATTAGGGGGCGTTGACGATGACGATGCTGTTGACCAATATGTAAATGTCTGGATTCTCGGGAGGTCTTGGACAACAGTGTTGATATGTGACCCGCAGAAATCCACACAGAGTAACTGTGCTATCTGCACAAGAATATGGAATGCTGGCTGCGAAACTTCAGCAGCATGCAGATCTTCAGACAGCTCCCGTAGACGAACCGGTGGCCAAACTACCAGGAGATACCCAGACGCCACAAGAGCTACTAGCTAGTGCTGTGATAAACACTTCAATTTATGGAACTCCGAAGTCCTCCTTTACATCAATGGCGGAGGAGCCCGCTTCAGCAACAGATGACAGGATGGCTCCATCTGTTTCCGAGATGTCTATTTCGGACAGGGTACCAGAGCCATCCATTGTGTCGAGCATAGATCATGACTCGCAGCTATTCATCGAGGACGGCTTGATTCCAGCGGAGGAAGGAATCGTCTATGTTCCTACCCCGCCTTCTAGACTTCATGTTGACTGCTCGAAAATCCGATATCGGATCCCGAAGCAGACATCAGGCGCCGGCAATTCATCGCTGCAAAAGGCCCTTCTGAGTGCCATTGCGGGACAAGAGCTGGATATCGTTGAGCAGTTGCTAGATAGAGGCGTTTTGCCAGACATTGGATCGTAGAAGAACGCCTTGATGGAAGCAGTCAAGGGCGAAGATATCAAAACCCCGCAGCTCCTTCTCGACTTCAGTGCAAATCCGAATCCTACACTTGCAGGTGGTATTACACCACTTCGGACGGCCTGCGAACTCAACCAAGAAGCAGAGGCAGATTTACTGATCGAATGGGGCGCAGACCCCAATGTTTTGGCTTCAGACCGAGCACCTTTGGCCTATGCAACTTATCACAAGAACCTAGCCTTGATGAACCTGTTGTTGAAGATGGCGCGGATCCGATGTTGAAAATGAAGACTGGTGAGAATGTGCTTCTCTACGCTTCAGGCCGAGAATGCCCACCCGAAATCGCGCAGGCAATGCTCCACTATGGAGCTAATCCTGATTTGAAAGACTCTCGTGGATTCTCCGCGGGTGGGGGTTTTTTTTTGGCATGCCGTCGAAACCAGCCTCATCTTGTCGAGATGCTTCTATCGCACGGTGCTGACCCCAATATGTCTAGACCAGAGCTTCCCGTGATAGACGCTGCCCGACATCCTCAATGTCTCCAAGCTTTACTCCACGGTAAAGTCGATCTCAAAAAGCGGAGAGGGATCATGGAGTTGGCGACGTACCATAACTCCATTGATTCAGCGAGGATGTTGTTGGATGTAGGTGTTGATCCAAACGAGAAGAGCCAAAACATCTATACGCCTTTGAATATTGCGATCCATGATAATCGCCCCGAACTCATGACACTGCTGCTCTCTCGAGGAGCTGATCCCAATCTGAAAGGTCAGAATGTACCTTTGTTCATGGCAACTCCCAGGCCATAGTTGCTCGAAATACACCTGGACAATGGCGTCGATCTCAAAAAGAACGCTGGGGCTCTCGAAATGGCGATTTATCATAATTCGATAGAATCAGTCAAGATACTGCTGGATGCTGGTGTAGATCCCAACGAGAAGAAGGATGGTGTATATTCCCCTCCTACATCAGCGATTCGAGACAATCGACCTGAAATTCAGGTACTCGTGTTATCTGGAGGTGCGGATCCAAATCTCAAAGGCCAAGCTATCCCGCTTGTCATGGCTAAAAACAGGGTCGAAATTTTCAATCAGCTCGTCGAGGGTGGTGAAGATCATGCAAAATGCTCGGGTGTTTTGGAATCCGCTGTCTACCATAACAACATAGCATCTGTCAAGTTCTTACTAGATGCAGGGGCCAGTCCTAATGACAAGAATCAGGGAGTCTATTCACCACTTACCTCAGCAATTCGAGATACTCGTCCCGATATCCTTCAAGTTCTTCTAGAAAGAGGTGCAGATCCAAATATGAAAGGGCAGGATGTTCCTCTTGTAATGGCGGTACGCAACTCGGCAATACTGAGGCAGCTTATAGCCGGAGGTGCCGATGTGACAAAACACCAAGGACTTCTTGAATTAGCAGTCTATCATAACAAGATGGAATCAATCGACATCCTACTCGAAGCTGCTGCTTGAAAGAGGTGCAGATGTGGATCTCATGGACGAGACCGGCCAAAGTGCTATGGATAACGCGGCAAACAAGGGGTATGATGATATTGTGAGGATGCTGCTAGATGCCATGGAACGAGAGAAACACAGAATGCAAAGTCTTCGGTCGTTATCGGGACCACATTGGAGGTGAAACGAGGAAGGAGGCTTGGCTCCTCTGCTCTGGATTCTGATAGGGCAAGACCAATTCGCTTGAAGGCTGGCCATCTCGGAAGGTATCAACAACGACTGTGTCAAGAAGAGAAGTGTCAAGGCTGCTCAACAAGCTAATTGGAGGATTTGAAGGGACCCAAAAGCCACGTGCTGAAAGTCGTGCTGCTCGCTGAAAGAGGTTCAGTGCATTAGGTCCTTAGTCCACTTCGGAGCTTGACCGTCAACCGTCACACGTGGACAAAGATATTGTCTTTATCATCCCAACAAAGCAGCTGAAGAATGCTTACAAAAAGTCCCACAGCGTCCCACCGACTCGCACAGATTCTCGCGCCCATCAAATACTGCCGATCAGTCGTCCGGCTCCCACCTCGAATGCCACATTCAGACCCAAGCTCCTGTCAAAGGGTGGGGTAAAAGCCGGTAATGTTCCGAATCGAGAAACTCTGACTGCCAGGCACGGCCTCGAACTTCCCAATCCATCCGCAGATAGACGGGAGTCTATCTCACTTTA